ATGAAGAAATACGTCCTATGGCGCTATGCGCTGGTCTGTGAGAGGTTGAGGTGCGAGCCCTGGAGGCCCTGGGGATGGGGGGAGACTACCCGCGGGCCTAGAAGGCCCGCGCGCAGGGGGGTGGGGCATTTTGAGACCGGTCATGAATGAGTGCGCGACACGCATGTTGCGAGCAGCGTTGTTGATGTTCTGCGCGTCGCCACAGACGGCGGCGCGCGAGAGCTGTTGCGAGTGGTGCTGGACGAAGCCCCGGGCGCTGCCGGAGGCTGTGCCGTAGTCGGTGCGGTCGACGGCGCTCGGGCTGCCGACCTCTTTGGCGAAGTTGTGGATGATTCTCTTGGTTGGGCGCCGCCCTGGCTTTCGACGAGACAAATTTTGACGATTCCGTTCTTGACATGGAGCGCGTCGTAGTACTGTCCCTTGTGCTCTTTGACCCAGCCTTTGCCGGTCGCATGGACGAGCGGGCCCTGTGACTTGTGGCCGCGCTCCTCGCACCCAAGAACCTTGAGCAAGGTTTGGTCGAGGGTGCTGCCGAAACCAAATTTGTGGCCCAGTGTCTAGAAGTGACGCACAGCATCCGCCGTGTGCCGCCGAGCCCTGCCCAGCTTGCCTCGTCTTTGTGAGGGCGCAGGCACCTTGACTTCGTAGTGGACATCACGCTGGGACTGCAGGTCCCCGCCGATCTCACACATGTCGGTGACGTGCCCCTCGTTGAGATGAAAAGTCGTCTGAGGGTTCGCCTTGTCACCGAGCACGAGTTCACACCGAAGCATGAGTGAAGCATAGGGTAGCAAGAGGGTTGTACTGCCCTGCCCGCACACCCGGGGGCCACTTCTGCCGATCCCGATCCCCTACCCGCCCCGGGTGTGAATAACTGCCCGCTCGCGAGGTCTGGAAACTTAGGGTACACGCATATCAGGGCTTGGCGAGAAAAAAAACAAAAAAGAAAAAGGTCTCGGGTGTTTCTGAGATCAGCGTGTTAGTGCCAGTGCGCGCCAGTCCCGTGCCTGGCCTGTGTCGTGCGAGGGAGTTTGTTGGAGTGTGTTGTAAAATTCTGAGATCAGCTTAGGTGAGTGGCAGACAAATTCAAAAAATGGGCGCCGCAGGCGCCCCGGCGCTGCGTGCCCACCATATGGTTGAAAGATCCCTCCCTTGGTTGCAAGAACACAACGCACTCTCTCACATGACAAACAAGCTCCCACGACAGCGAAATCCCCCCACGCACTAGCACTGACTCGATTTGAGCGCTGTGGGTGTGTAACGTCTGGAATCACTGACATTCCAGCTTGGGAAGCCTCATCAAACAGAGTCATATTAAATTCCTTACTATATTCCAGGGAATGTTCCAGAGAATGGGCAAACCTCGCCGGAGGGACCGTCTATATTCGAAAAGAAATTCCAGAAAGTTACAACCAAAGCCTCTCTCGCACACGCACGATTTACACGACAAGCAAGGCGCAGCCAGCCGACGGCTTCCTTAAAAGCCGTCATCCTCGCCATAGGGATCCCTTATAGGGATCCCTCGCGCGAATCTCCCTCTTAACCCACACTTAACATCTATATAAGGGATCCCTAGAGGAAGTCGTCCCGAAATTCTAGAATAACATGCACAGGCCAACCTCGGGCGCGGAAAGCAAAAAAGCCGTACTCCAAGTGCTCCGTCAACTACACTTATCTTCTGGTGCTCAGTGCCGTGCGGCGGCGGTCCGGCAGGCTGCCCCCCAAAAGGCCCGCTGGGCCGCTGCGGTGGTTTGGGATTTAAAGTGAGTCATCTCGCTTAGGCCGACAGAGCTTCGGCGCGATGGCAGCCGCCCCTCTCTGGGGTGTTGCATACTTAGGCGGGGAGTCTGATGTCTGTCTCCTAGAGCTGCCTAACGTTAAGAGCTGATCAGTGTTTGTTGCTATATAGAATATAGTGTTAACAGCAACAACAGAAACAACAATGGGATCCGCCACCAACAGTAGTTAACGTTAGGGTAGGCCGGCTGGACAACAAAAGGAGGGCCTGCGTCTGGCAGTTAACCCACGACGATCTCCTAGTGTCCAGTGCCTGCAAATAAAACCGTCCGCCGGGAGCGGGTTATCGTTTCGGGTTTTACCCGGGGGCGCCGGGGGGCGGGGGCTTGACATTTTCTGCTTGCTGACCGCTGAACAACAGTGACAACAGTAACAAACAGTAACAGCATGGCCCATGGCATGGGCTGGGGTGAACAGTTGAACAACGTTGAGAGACGTTGAGAGAGGATTTCAGGCCCAAGCACAACGAAATTTGTTGAAGTTGTAAAAAGTTTAGAGGAGGCCGTACCTCCGCTTGAGCTCTGCCTTGTCGGCCGAGCTCCACCGCGTCGCCGGCACGCCGAGCTCCGCCGCGATGAGCGCCTACGCAAGGCGAGAGACAAGCACGTGAGTGACGTTTGGGTCCACCGCCCTGCGCCGCCGAGCGCCGCTGCGGTGAGCGCGCCGCCGTGCGCGCCGCCGTCTCCTCTGCCGCCTCGGCCGGCGCGGGCGCCACCGCAGGAAGTAGTGTCACCTCGGCGACGTGCCACGGCTGGAAGAGGGCGCGCGCAAAGTTTCGAGGCAGCGAAGAGGTGAGCGTGTCGTGCGCGAGAGGCAGCGGGCACGTCACGCGCAGCGCAACAGGCTGCACCTCCTCTCCGAGGCGAAAAGCGCCTCTCGCGAAGCGCATCAGCCCCGCCCCGTTGGTGATGGATCCCTCGGGGAAGATGAGTAGCGGTTCGTGCGGCTCGCCCTCCCGGCGCAGGTGGCGGCGGAGCGCCCCCTCGACGGCGGCGCGGCCCTCCCGCTCCCTCCGGGCACCGGGAGCCGACGGCACGCGTGCGGCACGACCAAAGGGCTCGGTGGAGCCGCTCGCGTGGCTGGCGGGCGGCGGTGTCTGTTGCGGCGCTGTAGACGGAGGAGGAGGAGGAGGAGGAGGAGGAGGAGGAGGAGGCCGTGGAGTCGGCACCCAGATTGGCGACACCACCATGCGAGTGAGGTGAAGCAGGAGCCACCCGCTCTTGGCGTACGTCTCTCGTACGGGAACTGCGAGGCTGCCGCCGCACCACACGCGGAGGAATAGGCTGTCGAACTGCGTCACGTGGTTGCCGACCACGACGCGGGCGTGTCGCAGCCTCTCTGCTACTCGCGGCGACGCAGCAGCGCCGCCAGGCGTCTGCAGGCGGATGCGGACGCCTCCGATGAGAGTCATCGCTCGGACGGCTGCGGATTCCAAAATTGCGCGTGTTGCTGGTGGCAGGAACGGAGCCACTGCGAGATGGGTCACAGCGACGAGCAGGCAAAGGAGCAGCCGCACTACCGCGACTACGAAGCCGAGCGGCGCATACACGACCAGGGCGGCGTAGCGCGCGCGCGTGGACGGCAGGAGCGCGCTGAAGGAGCAGAGGTCCTCCAAGTGTGTTGTGGTTGGCCTTGGTGGTACAATAGCCAGAGGCTGCGCAGGCCGTCTCGTTTGCATGTTTGAAGAAAAACTGTTGGATAACATGTCATCATACCACACACGGCGGCTCCGGCCGCGGCACCTCTCGATGGGTTCCACTTTCTACGCACACCCACACGCACAGGCGACAGGGGCCGAGGGGGGTCTCACGTAGATCACATACCCTCTCACGACACAAGCCCTAACCGCAAACACCGGGGAAGGGGCGCTTGGGAGCGGGGGCGGGGGCGGGGGCGGCGGCGCGCGCGCGCGAGGTGTGGGGACGCTGCCGTGCGCGCTGCGCGCGTACGCGCGCACCACACACCACCGGGAATCTAGAGGGCGGTGTGCCAACTTTTTGGGCAAGGCGTCTATTCGATGCTCTGCACGTTACCGTCGGGTACTTATTTTAAGAGCAAGTCAACAGCAATAGATCCGGGTGTAGTGCCGGATCAGTTCCTGGAGCCAGGGGGACCGATTTGCACTTGCCAAGGGACCAATTGCGAAGGCCCCCGCACGGGGGGTCCCGGCCGACGTCATGCGCGTCCGCCAGGGGTCCAGGGTCGCCCAGGCAAGTGGCCCAAATCCGGTGAGTTTTCCAAGTGTGAACAGCTGTTGAGAGGTGTGAATTCATCCCAGGCGGGGTGCGGGGCGGTAGCCCTGCAGAGAAAATTTTGCGTGCTGGGGCACTGAGATCGCAGATTTCGTTAGTCCACGGCGGATGCCAGCTGCAGCTGCGAGGAGATACGCGGTGCCTCATTTGAGCATGCATCAGCGTCCTTTCTGCTGGCATCACGCATAAGAGAAGCCGAGAGGCACGAGGTCCTCCAATTTGCCGGATCAGCAGCGCGGTCTGGAGCGTGGCTGTGGGGTATGCATGCTCCCCCGCAGTCTGAATGGACCGACGCCCGAGCCCATACTGCGTTCTGTGCAGCCATCTCAAGCAGTGAAGGGGATCGGGGAAGTTGCGCCACCCCGCTGTCGTTCTCCTGCCGTGCATGCCAAGAGCGTTGAATAAATTCGACCGACTTGAGCGGCCCACACCGGTCACGCCCAACTCACCAGCCTTGTGGCCTGAAACCGATTCTGAGCCCTGCCTCCGCCGAGCGGGTATGGCCGCTGCCCGGCGGCCCGCGGCACGAGTCGGTCCCACCTCCTCCCCGCCGTCCCGGTTCCCGCAGGTGAATTATTGCGATTTCGCCACCCTCCTCGCCGCCCTCTCCGCCACTGTCGCCTCCGCGCTCTCCTCCGCCGTCGCCGCCGTCGTCGCCTCCGCAGGATGCTCCGCCGCCCTCGCCGCGGCCTTCTCCACCGTCTTCTCCGCCGTTCTCTCCTCCGCCGTCGCCGCCGCACTCGCCGCGGCCGTGGCCGCCGTCGGTCTCGCTTTCGCCGCCTCCGTCGGTGTCGCCGTCGCCGCCTCCGCCGTCGGATTCGCCTTTGTCGCCTGCTCCGTCCGTGTCGCCCTCGCCGCCGTCACGATTCGGCATACACACAGTTTGCACATCTGCAAGTTCTTCTTGATGTACACGGCGGTGCAGCCCCTGGCAATTAGCGGGCAGCTCAAGGCATCGACGCTCTCGCCGAAGCCCCTGTGCCCGGCACTTGCCGCCGTTTTATTCGGCGCAATGGCCGGCGTTGAAGCTCCGAACCCAGGCGCAGCCGAGCCCGTTCAGAGACAACACCAACAACCTCTTTCACTCATTCTTAAAACAGTACCGGCCGGGATTTCGAAGATAGTGCTAAAATGGATATACCTGGAGAATGGCATTTAATTTCGCGGACCGGCTCTTTTAACAATCAGGTCATGTCACCGCTTAATGTGCATGTGCGTGGCCTACGTCAGAGACCAAGTGACCAGCCGTCCCGGGCAATTTGTGACCCGTCTACGCCCCCTCGCGCCTCGGGCGCGGCCGGCCGCCGCCGGCTGCCCCGTTGACTTCCCCGCCGCGCTAGGCGTTCGTTCGCAGTAATCTGGCTTAGTTCAGAGAGGTCGGGTCGTCTCTATGCGTATCACAGCGCGGCGCTGGCCTGCGCATGGCGGGCATGTAGTCGAATCAATCAATCATCCCGACATTTGATGTTAGTGCCAAAACCCGCGGAACCGAAAATGGCGTTTAATTTTGCGCACCTGCTGTCCGCCGCCTGCGGCGGCGCTGCGCGCCGCCTACGCGCGCTGCGCGCGCGTTTTTTCTCTCTTTTTCTGTCTTTTTCACAGTGTGATTTTACCAAAAAAATGCCGAAAATTGGGGGAACACTTGACGGTCGCGGCCTTCCGACTCGCGCCTCCGCCTCACTGGCACTATTGTAGCCCTGGACGGTGCGCGTGTGGAGTTGAAACTCCGGAGTAAAAATTCGAACGCGTTCTCTCACGGTGACCAAAAAATGTCCACCTCAGAGGCACCTCCGGAGGCAGGCCGCTGCACGCCGGCGACACAGCTCCAGCTGTCGAACTGACCCGCAGCTCCTCTCAGAGCGGGAACTGTGACGAAAGTTGACTGAGGCGGTTGTCAGGAACCATCATACGGATCACATGGTGGCTCTCTCATGACGGGAGACCGCCCGACCACTCCTGGGTGGCACTGCCACCGGTGTCGCTCGACGTCCTGTCGACAGCGTGGTGACAGCGACACAGACCATGTGGGACGCGTCGAGTATCGACCTCTACTGCTTACCCAGTCTTCGAGTGTATCCTGCCTGTGGTCCCACACCCACTGGTGTCCGTCTCAGAGACCGCAGGAGGTCATGAGGGTCGATGGGAGTGCCAACCCCACAATGCCTAATCGCTAAAGACCCAGCCCAGTAGTATTTTGAGAGACTAATTTATTCACAACTCGTGCGGTGTGGCCCTCCAGCCAACCCGACAGACCCCCCCTCGGTCTGCGCTCCGACTCCGACCGGACCCCGCCCGCTCCCCTCCGGTCTGCGCTAGGTCTGCGGTCTTCCCCGCGCGCCCGCGGCGGCCGCGACCGGACGCCCCCTGCGGTCGGTCGGTCTGCGCTGGGCTCTCAAACCGCGAACTCTCGGCACACCCCACACACGGGGGTTTTGTAAATCCTTTATTTGGTCGCGGTCCTTCATTTTTTGACAGTCAACGCGCCTTTGTCCGGGTGATGATTCAGCGAATTCTGATGCATGTGCTGTGCGTCAGTGCGACATCGCTCGCCCACGCGCTAGTCGGCACTCGGGTGCTCCATCGCGCCGTGTCGCGCCACGCCGCGCGCCGCCTTGTCCCAATCCCGCGCCATGCGGAAGCGCACCAGCTGCTCGGGCGTGGCCGGCTTGCCCGCGTTGGGAGCGTCGGCGTCGGCGACGCGCCGCCAGAGCTCCTTGCCTACGTCATGCGCGCACCCAAGGTCGTGCAGTGTACTCGGAGCATGGCGTGAGCACACGGGCTGCGAGCACAGGCCGACACAGTGGAAAGGCAGCTACGCACAGCTGCATACGTGTTGTCTCGAGTGCCAGGTCGGAGCTTCGGGGGCTAGCTCTGTACAAGTGCGCTGCTGACCGTGGTAGACAGGCGCGCCGAAGACCTTGGCGGCCTGCAGCTCGGTGTAGGGGCGCGCGTTGAAGGAGGGCGGAAGTGGAAGGAAGCGCACGTCCGTCCGTGCGAGGGCCAGCGTCGCCGCGCCCTGCTCGCCTGCGCGCCGCGGCAGGACCGGCGTGAGCAGGCGCGGAGTACGGCGGCAGACTTGCGCCTATGCGGCGGCTACAGCGCGATCGTGCGGCCAAATCTCGGCCAGATCTCGGCCATCTCTCCGCTAGATATCGGCCAGATCCGGGCCAGATCTCGGCCAGATCTCGGCCAGATCTCGGCCAGATCTCGGCCAGATCTCGGCCATCTCTCCGCCAGATCTCGACCAGATCTCGGCCAGATCTCGGCCAGATCTTGACCAGATCTCGGCTAGATCTCGGAGCGCAGCTCGCCCGAGGAACGCAGGCGCCAGTAGGCGCCCCCCTTCTCGAGGTACACCTTGCGCCGAGAGACCGCCGAGATCACCCGAGAGTAGCCCCCCCCCCCCCTCTCGGGGTCTCAAGCGGGAGACAGCCGCAGTCGAGTCGTCTTATGTGCGCTTGCTGCGGGAAAGAGGGGGGATGCATCTGCGTGTGTGCGTCTGCCGTGCATGAGCCACCTTGCGCGTCTCCTCCCAGAAGGCGGCCACCCGCTCGTTGCGGCGGTACGCCATCACGCCCGTCTGCATCTCCCACCTGATACAAAAGCGCAGCTTATGCTTGGAGCTCCTCATGCCCGCAATCACCCTGGGGCACCTCTTGTTTAGGAGCAAGGGGCGCGGCAGAGAGAGGTCAGGGCCGCGGGCTGGAGCATTGCTGCGGCAGCGCTCACCCACGCAAGTGCCCCGACGGGTCGTACGGCTTCCCCGAAGAGTAGAGGACGCGGCAGCACTCGAAGGCGGCGGCGAGGTCGTAGTCGTCCAGCAGGGTGAAGAGCTGCGAGACGGCGGGAGAGCGGACGAGTGTGTCTCCGTCGAGGAAGACCTACCCCCACTCTCCCAGGTGTGGCACTGTGATCAGGACGGTGATCGCTTGCAGCGCTCGGGCTGGCCGTCTTCGCAAACGGCGACTGGTCGTACGCGCGCAGCTTCTTGACGCGCGGGTCGTCGTCGATCGCCTCGCCGCCGCTCACCGAGAGTGCGGCGACGTAGTCCACGCCTGGTCAGGAGCAATCTCGGCCCGATATCGGCTCGACCTCGGACCGATCTCGCCCACAATCTCGGCCAGATCGCGACTAGCCGGCTGCCCAGCCGCGAGCGGAGCCAAACGGCGGGAATGCCGCCGTCGCTCAGCACAGCTATCGGCCTGCGCGGCGGCGGCAGCGCGCGGATCGACGCCACCGACGTGGCCATCTCGAGGACGTGGTTGCAGCCGTAGTCGCGAACGGCACACCCGCCGTGCAGCACGTACAGGAACCCCTCCGGCGGAACCTGTGGGAAGGGGCCGGGCACGGGCAGGGTCCGAGAACTGTCCGCTCCTCGGCTGCCGTGCAAGACGCCCTCTGGCCTGTGGCGGCGGCCTTGCCTCCGCCTCCGCCTGCCGCAGCAGAGAATGAAGACTCGTGACTACACAGACGATGGCCGTCAACGTGGCCTCGCCTCCGCCACCACCTGTTCACGGCGAGTCCGAGTCACAACTCATCGCAGACCACGCCCCCGACCTCGCCTCCGGCTGGCGCCTGCTCGACTGCCCGCAGCCGCGGCCCGCAGACCCAAGCGTTGGTGGAGGCGCCTCGGCTCGCGCCTCCACCTCGCAGCTCGAACGGGTGGGACGCCTGAGGGAAGGTCGGGACAGGGGAGCTGCTCCGCGCGCACGAGAAAGTGGGGCAAGGGCCCTGTGCGTGCGCGTGCGCGTGCTGCGCGTGCGCGTGCGCGTGCGCGTGCGCGTGCGCGTCGCGCGCGCCGCGCGCGCGCGCGGCGCGTGCGCGTGGGCGTGGGCGTGTGTGTGCGTGCGTGCGTGCGTGCGTGCGTGCGTGCGTGCGTGCGTGTGTTGTGTGTGCGTGCGTGCGTGCATGCGTGCGTGCGTGCGTGCGTGTGTGCGTGCGTGCGTGCGTGCGTGCGTGCGTGCGTGCGTGCGTGGGTGCGTGGGTGGGTGGGTGGGTGCGTGCGTGCGTGCGTGCGTGCGTGCGTGCGTGCGTGCGTGCGTGCGTGCGTGCGTGCGTGCGTGCGTGCGTGCGTGGCGTGCGTGCGTGTGTTGTGTGTGTGTGTGTGTGCGTGTGAGTGAGTGAGTGACTCGCCTGCCGCCCACCGCACGCCAGACCGTTGTCCCGCACGACGCCGACACACAGAGGCTCAGCGATGCATCCCTAGCGAACAGACCGGACGTGGCGTGGACGTGTGTGCTGAGGTGAGAGTGGCGTGTGTGTCGCGACACGGCGGGGCGGCTGGCGTGTGCCGAGGAGAGAGCGGGAGAAGGCGTCTCTCGGAGGCTCGCACCGCCCACGCAGCATTGAGCTGCTTGTACCGATATGCACAGCGGCCGTCGTGGCGGTGAAAGTCAGCGTTGGCCGGGCTCGGCAGCAACCTCAGCAGGTCCGTGCTCGGACGCTTCTCACGAACGCACTCGTCTCGCTGGCTGGACGCAACTCCTGCTGCCCGTCTCTGCAAGAGCCGCCGGCGAATAGTGTGCCGTGTGCGATTCGCCGCGTCGGCGGGATACTGCGACGCGGCAGTGTCGGCAATGATGAGGAAAACGCAGGACGCAACTGCCACCGCGACGATGTTTGTGCATCGGCAGGACATGTGCCGGCCTGTGCTGGCTCCACAAGTGCTCCAAGTGGGTGAGCTTGAGCCTTGAGCACTTGAGGAGGGCGCTTGGGGCTAAGCAAGTGCGGTGTGAAATACACATTATTATGAAGTGTTTATCTACTGCTCGAGGTTCTCGAGGTTCTCGAGGTGGATATCCTTTGGCCGCGTTGGGTAGCGAGGATTGGTGTAACCCGAGCCACGGAGGCGTGTTTTCTGGCGGCCGACCGTCAGTGCACGGAGTTGCCTTATCTACTCGAGTACTGCATCTTTAGCGCACTTTAGCGCAAATTTAGCGCAAATTTAGCGCAAATTTAGCGCAAATTTAGCGCAAATTTAGCGCGAGTTCACTGCGACTTTACATCCAGATTTAGCGAGGTTTAGTGCGTCTTTAGTCCAGCCGCGCAGTAGGATCCAGCCGCAGACCCTCGCTGGGCCTCCCTCCCCCTCCCCCCCTGCAGTTCCTGCCCACTCGCAAAAGTTCCCCGTCCCATCCCCAACCGAACGAAGGTTCTTCAGCTGAATATCAACCTCCAAGGTGCTTTCCGGGCTGCTTCTCCGGGCCCGCCGCACGCGTATGTAAAGCTGCTTGCGGTGACTACATGGATCATTGCCATTTGGCCGTTTCTGTCCTCGTGGACTGGATCCTTCATCCTTTGGTTCAACATTGGCTTTGAAATTCCAAGACCGACCCTCACCTCTACTCTATTACAGCTGGTGGTCACGGGCACAGCATGGGTTGTGCGGTCGGAGGTGGTGCTTGCGGTGGCGCATTCAACTGTGCTGGTCCTCCTCTCGGGAATCGGTGCTGTGCCTGTGCTCAGTCGGGAGATCTTGCTCTGGAGGGCTGCAGATCTAGCCTCACTAGGAGCCCGCCTTTGGTTCATGAGTGAGGGCAGGGGCCAGGCATCTCCTGTGGTGCATTCTTGGCAGCCAAGGAGCACAGCACGCGGCCCTGGCTAGCTGTGGTGTGGCTGGGAAGCTGTGCTAAAGTTGCGTGCCCGCACTAAAGATGCGGGACCCACACTAAATGTACTGCAGCTGCCCGCACCTAAAGTGAACTAAATGTGGCGCTAAATTGGAGATAAAACACACTAAATATGTGCTAAATATGTGCTAAATATGTGCTAAATATGTGCTAAATATGTGCGAACTATGTGCTAAATATGCGCTAAATTTGCGCTAAATTTGCGTTAAAGTCGCACTATATACGCACTCGAACACGCACTAAATAGCGCACTAACACGGTACAGGATCGAGGTGCACGCTGCTGAAGCAGTGTCGTCCCCCCTCTCCATCGTCTCACTGGGAGACGTCGGCGGCGGTGGCGGTGTCCAATGGCTGAGCTTGCTATACATCGCAGCCAGCCATCTTGGGTAAGATGGCTGGCTGGCAGCCATTTCAGCCATTTCAGCCATCTACTATGGCTGCGTCATAGAGATTGCAGCTTCCATCCTCCAGAGCCATGGCTGGTGGTAATTCGATGGCAGCCGATGGCAGCCGTCCCGCGAGGCCGGGGGCGACAAGCGGCAGCCATATTTGTGCTTGTGGTGGGGGCGGCGGGGGGCTGCCATCGAATTATCACCAGCCATGCTCCTGGCTGCACTGACTGTGCCCCAGCCATAGTAGATGGCTGAAATGGCTGAAATGGCTGTCCCCCAGCCATCTTACCCAAGATGGCTGCGATGTAGCAAGCTCAGCCAAGAGGGCTCACCTCGAGGCGGGCGGTATGGCTGCGGTAGTGCGTCTCCAGCCATGTCTACCAAGGATGGCTGCGGTGTGTGTATTGCAGCCATTAGACTGGAGGATGTGGCCGCACTGCAGCTAGCTCAGCCATGCTTAGGTAAGATGGCTGTGAAGGAGCCAGCACAGCCATTCTGTGGTGTTACATTCCGAGGTAGCCGGCTGTTTCTTGTTAGATACAGCCAAAGAATCGGATTTGTGTGTAGTTTCGCCTATTCAACGGTCCGAACGAGCGAGAGCACGCACGAGCGGCCCAAATGTGGCCGTGGCGGCCCAATTGTGTGCACATAAATGCATGTTCAGCCTTGCTTGGTCCTCACAGTACAGAGTTGTTTTGTTTTTAACTTCAAGAAAATCAAAATCCGCCAAAAATCTAAGAAACCACGGCTCGCCGCAGGCGCGGCCCCGAGAAAGGGCCCACACACGAGTGTGACCAGGAGCCCCGCTCAAATTTTCTCTTCGCGCCTGCGGGCGCGCGCGCTTGTCATTTTGCCCAAATCTGCGGTGTTCTGGGCGGTGTGGATGGAGGTGTGTGCGTCTTCCTGTCATCCCAAGTGAGTGGGGTGGCAGACTGCTGACTGGTGGCATCGGTCCAGCGCTTCGATCCTTATTGTCGTTTTACCTAAAAACTCCTAGATCCCGGCTGACCTGGGGTGCCGGCCGAAGCTAAGTCCTAAGAAACCACGGCGTGGGGTGTAGAATCGGCGGCGTGCCGCGTCTGTCGGTACCTCATCAGTCAGAGCTCACAAAATCACTGCGGGGGGGAAAGCGGCGAGTCGCAATTCCAGCCAGGGGTCAAATTTGCGCCAGCGGGAGGAAAGCGGCGAGTCGCAATTCCAGGGGTCGTCGGGGCGGGCCACCCGGCAGAGGCATGGATCGGATGGATGCCAAAATCTGGGGCGTCTATACGAGTGATGGAGGTTGTCGGTACGTCATCAGTCAGAGCTGACAAAATCAGGGGAAAGCGGTCGCAATTCCACGCCTCATTTTCAGTGTATGTGGCTCTTAGTCTTACGAACATACCCGAGGGTGAACTGATTTTGGCGGGCCAAGAAGCTGTCCATAAATAAATAAACAATAAATAAATATTGGTCCCGTACCATGCGGAATCGACCCTATCAAGTGCTCAAGTGCTCAATATTTATTTATTTCCGTCTGTATTATTATTAACAACGAAGGCGCTCTCAAATAAATGAAGAGAGCAGGCAGCTCCAGGAGAGATGGGCGACGCACGAACACAGGCAGTGCGCAACCCCCTCCCCCCCCCCCGCGCGCGCGCTCGCAGGGCGTGCCCAATAAATAAATAAATAAAACGGGGACGGATGGGAGGACGGCACGATTATAAGGAGGGTGTGACGCGCATGGAAGTAGAAAAAATATGGGCGTGCCAGTACAGCGAGAAAGGCTAAATGCGTTTTTTTTAGAGGGCCTTCGTTTTTTTTGAGCTAGACTTCGATATTAATAACAAGCGAAGGCACACAACGGGACGCCAAACACACGACTGCACGCACCGCACCGCACGCCGCGCCCGTTTTTTTTTGTTTTCGATACAACAATGGCGGAGCCTGACGGCCTCACGCCAACGGAGTACGCGGTGGGCATCTTCCTCGTCTGCCTCGGCTGCGCCTTTGCCTCGACCGGCCTCCTCCTTATGAAGGAGTCCACAGTGCACGAGGGCGAACGACCCTTCTTCCTGCGCTGGCGCTGGCTGATCGGCTTCTGCTTCCTGGGAATCCTGACGACGGTGGTGGACGTGTACGTCCTCGGCATCCTTCCTCTCTCGCTCGTCGCCCCCTTTGCCGGCCTCACGATCGTCTTCACGCTACTCATTGCGTCGAGCGGTGCGCGGGCCCGCCGTCCCAGCGTTCCCCCGCCGGGCTGCTCGCCTCCTCCCACCGGCCCACACCCACGCGCGAGCGCGCGCTCCCTCCGAAGGGTTGATGGACGCCACCGAGAAGCTCTCTACGAGCGACGTCGTCGGAGCCGGCCTCATCATCGCCGGTGTCACCCTCGTCTCCCTCTATGGCCCTGGGGGCGCCCACGGCAGCGACGCGAGCAGCGGCGGCGACGCCGACAGCAGCAGCGACGACGCGGGCGGCGGCGGCGGCGGCGACGACGACGACGAGGCGGCGGTCGACGATCCCGCGCTCGCCGCCTTCCAGCGGCCGCTCTTCGCTGGCTTTGCAGGCGGCTCCCTCTCGACGGTGCTCGTCTGGTGCGCCGTGCTGCTGATCCGCCCGACCGCCGCTGCGACTTCGGCGGGCACGGCGTTGTCGGCGTACAGCGCCGCGGTGTGCGGCGCGCTGTCGCAGCTGTTTGTCAAGGTGGTAGCGGTCTGCCTGCACAAGGCCGACGGCGACTTCACCTCGCCGGCGTCGCCCTTCCGCTCGCTCGCGCCGTATTTCGCGCTTGGCGGCGTGGCCTTCACCGCCCCGCTGCAGCTGTTCCTGCTCGACACGGCCCTGACCGGCGCCTCGGTCGCGTACGCGGTGCCGTGTTACCAGGCCTTGCTGATTGGCCTGACGACGGTGGCGGGAGGCATCTTCTTCGACGAGTTTGGGAACATGCAGCGATCGCAGATGGCGGGGTTTGGAGTGGGGGTGGCACTGGCGACGTGCGGCCTCGCCCTCCTCTCGGCGCGGCCTGGCGACGAGGAGGAGGAGGAGGAGGTGGCGATGGGGGAGGCGCCGATGCGCCTGTCCCAAAAGGCGGAGGAGGCGCCGCCATCGCCGGTCACGCTTGACCGCTCCCTCTCGACCCTCACCCCCCTCTCGACTGAGGCCCGCGCTTCCACCGAGTGGACCCGCGAGGAGCGCTTGTTCGCGCGCCGCTTCTCGCTCGCTCTGCGCGGCTTGCCCCGCGACGTGCTCGGGCTGGGCATGCTCAACGAGAAGCTGTCCTGGACATGTCCACGACACTTCCCTGACATGTCCCATAGGTGCTCGGGCTGGGCATGCTCAACGAGAAGCTGCGGCGCGGCAAGCGGTTTCGGGCGCGCGCGCTCTCCTTCGACAACCACCACATCTACCTACGCTTCCGCGACCGCGAGGAGGAGGCGGCGGCCGCGCGCGCGCCCAAGCCGCCGACGTGGCGGAGATCCAACACCATGAGCGAGCTGCCGGCGGACCGGCGGACGGCCCGCCAGGCCGCCGAGCGGCACTACCCGACGCGCCGCTCGCCGCTGAGCCGCCTCTCGCCTCTCGGCCGCCGCTCGCCCGACAAGCGGCGCACCGACGACACGGCGTCGCTCATCTGATGGGCCGAAGCCCCTTCGGGGCACAGCGAGCAGTGGCGTGAGCCCCAGACGCGGGAGCAGCTGCTACTCAGAGACGGTTAACCGTTCGAGATCCTGAGTAGTCGAGATCCGAGCCCCGGCTCGTTCGGGCGTGTCTCCCCCCGGGGCCCAGTGTACCGCCTCGGGCCTGGCGTGTGTTGCGTCCATATTGCGCGCCGCGTGTGTGATGTCTTTTTACTTTTCCCGCGCTGTCAATCTTCCGCGGGGGCGACACATTGCGCGCATGTGGGCACATAGAGTATGCCAATCGTCGTCCCTACCAATTGCCATGAGGGCATCGTGGATAGTATTGTGCACACAGTGCACCCACCGCACGAGCCACGAGAGCTCACACAGTTCGGGTACGTGGTGTGTGGAGGAGATGCGAAGCGGTCCCGCCCCCCCTTTGCCCCGCCATTCGTGTGTGCAAATTTACCTTACCTAGACCTATACCAGTTCACATGGCACGCGTCCCCTATGCGAGTATGGCTCCCGCCAGTGCACCAGACTTACAGATGTGTCTTCAGTGGCGGGTTCGTGCCTAATAACGGCAGTATTGGAGAAACCGGCGCGGAACCCGGCGACGCATGCCGGCGAGGCCGATTTTCTTAAACGGACTTAAAAGAGGGACCCCCCGTGCCTGCAATCTCTTAAATGACAATTTCAGCCCCCAAACCTCCTCATTTCTTAAAAGGTCTTAAAACAATCCGGCCCTCAGAACCCTAGGGGTACCCTAAGCGCTTTCCCGCCGCCCACCCGCACCTCTCTCGCACTTTCGGCGCCCAGGACTGACACGTGTAACGCTTCACGCGCGTCGCTGAGGCGTGCTGTGAAGGGCTCGCGTGATCGCGAGCATCGCACAACATCGCCATTTATCGCATTTTATCGCCAAATATCGCGCGGTATCGCGGTTGCGATATTGTGAAAAATTTTCGCTAGGGCAGGGCTTGTGGAGGGCGGTGTGAATTACTCATGACATAATGAAAAGGCTCATGGATCGATTGCCAAAATTTGGATTGCTTCTCTCTTCGTGCGTCCGCACATACAGGCGAACGCCAATGGCCTCGGTCGCCTATCGGGCAGCCGGCCTCCGCATCTATTCAGTCGCCCCGCCCGCCCACGCCGGCGGCTGAATTTACATTCGATTGTTCCATCGATTGATGAGTCTTGTCCAAGCTAGACGACTAGTCTTGTCCCGCCCCGGGTGTGTCGTGTGCCATCGGTGTTCCCCGTGGTGTTCTAGTGTGGTGGGGGAGGCTCAGCGCCCACCACCGGGGATAGGTTTCGTCAGTATCGGCGTCGCATCGGCGTCGCCGATACAGGGACCGAGGGAGTAGGCTAGCGCTTGTGGGCAAGAAGAGCGCATTACTCAATACAACTACACGTGCACGGCCACCTCGTTCTTATGGCTCGAGCAGGTGGAGGTGCGAAGACTGGAGGGGCCCTTTGCAGAGGTCACAACTGACAACTCACCCTCCAGCTCCACACCCTCTACCCTCTACGCTCTAGAACTTTCTTTGTGTGGACACCACCCTGTGGCGCTTAAGCCGTGCCGCCGACCACCCCCCCACCAATGCACTCTAAAGAACCCTGCACAAAGATCGCACGGGCCCTGTTCCTTTTTACCCATCTCTTAAGTGTAGTCTGTAGAGGTCTCCGTTTTTACTATTTTATTATTGTGGAGTCTGGAGACTCTGTGTCTGTCTCACTCCAAGTGCGGTCCAACCTCCACACTGAACCACACTGAAGTGCTCGCGGAGCACCTCCAAGACAGCGGCGAGAGCGCCAAACTGCGGGAGACAGAGCACGCGTCGCGTGCAGCCACCAGCGCAGAGACCAGGAGGCTGCGCGCTAAGCGCTGCGCAAGCAGTGCGCAAGCACGGGGACTGGGAGCCGGAGGGGTTCACACTCTACTCGAGCTTTTTTCGCCCGCAGATGGGTGGCCTGGCGCCCATCCCGAGCCGCGCGACGTGCACGTCGCTCCACGTCGCCGCCTGTAGGAGGGCGTGGAGGCGGGCGAGGCGCGGCAGCAGCGCCCCCGTCGGCGAGTGGGTCAGGTTCGCGTCCGCCGACCTATCCTCACATCCTCATCCTCACCCCCCCGCCATTCGTGTTCTGGTCTACAACCACAGACTCACATCTGCGATCTGGGCGCGTGGAGAGGTGGGCCGGTATCTTGGGATTGAGGTGGTGCCTCGTACTGTTAGATGATAGTACGGAAGCAGTGGGTCGGAGGGCGCCCGGGTCGCCCCGGAGCGGCCCCGCGCGGGGAAGTGGGTGGAGGGCGGCCACCACGCCATCGGGCAGGCCGCGATATGCGTCTTTGCGCACCTCTCGCCCGGGTCCACGTCCACGTCGTAGAGCGCGCTCGGGCGCAAGCACGACGACACTACCGTACGCCGCTTGCCATTGCGCCCCCCCAAGCCTAGTCTCGAGCAAAACGCGAATCACCTCGGGCAGCCTCGCACCCCTCCGCGCGCGCCGCCGCCCGACTATTGCCGAATGTGCGCTCGGCCCACGCGAAGGCCTTGAGGCCGCGGGGCCCGCGGATGGCAACCTTGTGACCGTGCAGGCACCACGCGAACAGCGCGCCGCCAGAACGGTCGCCAGCCGAGCCCTTCCACCGCCTAACGGAGCAATCTCGGACAATCTCGGACAATCTCGGACAATCTCGGACATCACGCCCGCCTAATGACTCAGTCAGTCCACACGCGCGCTTGGGCGTGGTCCACGTGGAGCCCGATATTTTGGAAAATCTCGGCGACTCTCGGCGACTCTCGGCGACTCTCGGCGACTCTCTCGGCGCCTCGCCACAGAGACGCCGTCGAAGCGAGGCGTGCTGCTGTCGGGCAAGCGGGCAAGCCGCGCCTAGAGGACAGTCCCCAGAAGGTTCCTAGAAGGCTCCTGGGAGGTTTCGAGGCCGGCGAGCAGAAAGGGCGCGCGCGATCGTCGGCGCCCAGTCCACGTTACCGATCAGCGAGGTGCTGTCCACGTACCCCGGAGGGATGCGTCCCGGCCTAAGGTAAGGTAAGGTAACTTCTCCACACAAGCCTAAGGTAAGGTAAGGTAACTTCTCCACACAAGCCTAAGGTAAGGTAAGGTAACTTCTCCACACACACGAGGTGGTGGGGCAAGCGGGGGCAACCCTCGCGTCTCCACGTCCAACGACAGGAGCCCCACGGCATTCAAAGTGCAAGGCCCGGTGCGCGTGGGTGAGCGGTGTGTGTGTGTGTGTGTGTGTGTGTGTGTGTGTGTGTGTGTGTGTGTGTGTGTGTGTGTGTGTGTGTGTGTGTGTGTGTGTGTGTGTGTGTGTGTGTGTGCGTGTGTGTGTGCGTCCCGGCCTGAGGAGTCAGCGAGTAGACCTCAAGGCTGCTTCCTACCCCTCGGTGGGCGGCTTCGGGCCTCGGTCTCGTCCCCTCTCGGCTAACTCTCGCGCCATCGGATGATGTACGGGAGACGGATGCCGCCCTCGAACGCCGATTGCTTGCCGCCGCGGCCCGGTCCTGTCGAGCCGAGCTCGTTCTCTCGCGTCTGCTCGGGCCCGTGGTCAGACGAGAAGAGCACGACCTAGTTGATCACCAACTCGTTATTCATCACTTCGCCGCCGCCGAGTCAGGCCCGTGGCCAGAAGATAACGGCCGTGTTGTCGCGGACGCGCGTCTCGTCGAGCGCCGCGAGGAGGCGGCCTGTAGTGGTTACGAGAATAAGTAGTCCTACGTCCTTCTTCGTTGGGAGCTCACCGGGCGTCAGCCCCACCTGTACACGAGGATCAATAGTTCATGGCGAGTGAGTTCATTGATCCCAAATAGGGCGTCAGACTCCACGACCGATGTGCACGTCTAGCCCGTACATCTCGCCGAGGTAGGTCGCCATGCCGTCGGCGAGGCTGGTGTTGTACCGCTGCAGCACCCTCGCCTTGCTGCCGCCCGGCTGCGCAGAATGCTTCACCTTGGCCTTGTACCCTGCCGCACCCAGCCTTGCGTGGTCGTCGAAACGCCGCTGCATGCCGGCGGGGAAGAGGTGCCGGTCGAATCCCTCTGCGGAGAACCGGTCGCGGAACCGGTCGCCGAGCCAGGGCATGGCTCGTGTCCGCGGCCTGTGAGTCCATTCATTCATGGATCGATTCACTCACGTGGGGTGTGACGCCCGCGAGGCGGGAGCGATTCGAACGTCGTGGCAGCGGCGGGGGGTCTGGCTCGTCATTCCGTCCCTTTGATAATTGGTGAGCTAGCGGCCTGGTGGTGGCGCTCCCACTCCCCATCTCTCTCGCCCCGAGGCCTCCGTGTGCTTTGCGTCTCTTGTGGGATGGCCTGGTGGCGCGGGGAGCCACGTGGTTGATCGCCTCGCTCCTTGGCGGGAACATCGGAACCGGCCTAGCACACCAATCAATCATTCACGCGATGCGCAATGAATAGGGTGCGCTGCGCGCGGCTGCCGGTGCGGCGTCATCGCCCACACATCCATGTAGAAGGGCGGCTTGGCGACCTGTTCCCAACATCATTTCCGGTCATCATCTCAACATGTCCATGTGGAAGCAGAGGGGCTGTGGAAGGGCGTCTGGCGACCTCGTATAGCCACGAGACGGCGAGGTCGAAGTAGCCCCCGTCGCGGCCGTACCAAGTGCGATCGCTGTGGTCGACGCCTCGCACGCAGTAGCGGCCCTCGAGGCGCGAGCGGCGTGGCGCCGTGCCGTTTGGCCAGCCCTTCTCGTCGATGACGTCGAAGCCGTACGTCCCGGCGGCGATGTTCTTGGAGGTGTCGATGGCGGTCGCCGTCTTGCCAATGTTCCACTTTCCGAAGTGGGCCGTGGCGTAGCCAGCGGCGCGCAGCATCTCGCTCACCTGGGGGCCGTGGGGCGGGAGTTTCTCGGGTGAGGGGCGCTGTGCGTGGGCAGGGATGGCGGCGACAGGCACGGCTGTCTCGCTCACCGGAGGATGCGGCAACCCCTCGACGCCGACATTCATCTCGGCGGGCATCCGTCCCGTGAGCCAGGCGTTGCGGCTCGGCGAGCAGGTTAGGCCGAGCGTGTACGCGGCGGTGAAGCGCGCGCCGTCCCGCTGCAGCGCCGCGAGGTGCGGCATGTGAGCGTACGGATGGCCGAAAGATGCAGTGCCGCCGCACACGACGGCCGGGTCGCCGCCGGGCACGCAGGGCAGGTCCCCGGAGCCCATGTCGTCGGTGAGGATCAGAACGAAGTTTGGTCGCGCCATGATAAACGTCTGGGCTGGAGAGGTCGGGGGAGAGGTCTCGAGACGACGGCGAGCGGATGGGAGCACATGAGGCGCCGCGGCGCTTTTTTTCTTTTGAGAGCGCCTTCGTTGTTAATAAGAATACAGACGGACGGACACTTGCTGTAGCCACATGACACGCACACACTCACACCGCACCGCACCCCGCACCCACGCCCCCCCCCGCCTCGCCTGAGTTGGAAGGAGATGGGAAGATGGAACAGCCCGAGGAAAGGAGCGAAACAAACACGATAACACGTATGGGAGGTTGAAATCGTGCACCACGCTGCCCGGCGTTTCTCACTTTCCGGGACAGCCCCGCCCTTGTGAGGCAGGAAAGTGGCGGCTACCCCGTACGCCCAGTCCACTACGACCCCCTCGCCGACCGCCCAGACTTCCCTCCCCCTTCACGCCCTTCTCCAACCCCGACGAGCCGACGAATGGTTGAGCCTCCGGCCTTGCGCGCCCCCGCCCTCCGCTGCCTCCCACCGACACTTCTGACACACCCCCGACACGCACATACAAGACAAACCCGGCGTTCTGCTCTCAAAAGAAAAGAAAAATGGCAAGGAGGAGACCAGCGGGGGAGACTCCCCACACCTATGCAACACCCCAGAGAGGGGCTGCCATCGCCGAAGCTGTGCCTAAGCATAACTCCCAAACCCGCAGCGGCCCGGGGGGCCTTGGGGGCAGCCTGGAAGCAACCAGAAACCGAGAGTTTTTCTTTTTACGCTCGCGGTGATCGAGGGCGCGGCGGACATTTTGCTCCGACACTATCGTATGCGTGCGGGGTGACGGGCGTCGGACTGCGTAATCTCTGCTTGTCAATCAAATACTTATCCTCACGCGCGCTAGGCGGCGATCGATGCCGCCCCTGCCCTCTCGCCTCTGCCCCCCAAAAATACAGATGGCATACACCAGAGTGCGGCTGGGGTCCTCGTACTTTGGGGGGGGGGGGGGGGGGCGAGGGAGAAGGAGAGTCCGGAGGGTGTACCAGACATCCGCAGACGGGCCAGAGAGAGTCCCACCTCAGACCAATGGACATGCGCTACGGCGTTGCGGTAGCGGTGGCAGACGGCGGCGGTGGCGGTTCTACTGCTCGATCGCGTTGTGCGGCATTCCAACGATGTCCTCGAACCTCCACCGCCGCCGCGGCCCCTCCCTGCGCCCGCCCGCGGCGCTAGTTGATGCGGTCGCCGGTGACGCGGTCGTACTGCGGCCGGTCAGACGAGGGCTTGCGGCCTAGGAATGGGTTAGGGTTAGGGGTAGTCATACTGCCACGGCAGGCGAGGGCTTGCGGCGGTTCACACCCACGCGTCGTGACGACACGCGATTCACAGCACGCGAGGGTGGGTCGGACGAGGGCGTGTGTCGTGCTCCGGTGTGGCCACCCCTCTGCCCTTGCGGCCGCCCCCCTCATGTCGGTGCCCCGTTCGACAGACTGTTTACTATGTGTCCATCTAGGGCGCGCAGCCATAGTCGCGGCCTCCGAGGTACGACGGGCCCGAAGGGCGACCGCCGTACGAGCCGCCCGACGAGCCGCCTGCTCACAGCTGTCCCGCGTGAGGAGGCGCCATTCAGACCGCCGCTTAACACACTGCCAAGCCGCCGTATGAGCCGCCGCCGCCGCCGCCGCCGCCGCCGCCGCCGCCGCCGCCGCGCCGATCGTCCCGCCCGCCGCCGTACCCTCCTCCTCCGCCCCCGCCGCCGTAGCCACTGTCGCTGCCGCGGGGGCGGGGCTTGTTGATGCGCAAAGTGCGGCCCATGAAGTCTTTACCGTCCAGCGCCGCCATCGCGTCGTCCGCGTCCCGCGTCTCTTCAAACGTGACAAAGGCGAATCCGCGCGGCTCGCCCGTCTCGCGGTCCTTTGGCATGAAGCAGTCCGTCACGGTGCCGAACTTGGAGAAGGCCGCCCGGATCTCATCTTCGGTCGCGTGGTTTGGCATCGAGCCGACGTACAGCTTGGCGTCCTCGTTGCGGCCCCAGTTGTTGCCGCCGCCAAACGGGCCGCTGCCGCCGCCGCCGCCACCACCGCCGCCGCCACCGCGGCCGCGGCTGCGGCTGCGCGAGCGGCCGCGCGACGGCGGGCTGCGGGAGCGCGAGTAGGATCGCGGCATATACCAACTTGTCAGACTGCGCTGCCGAAAAGTATTTCCTCGCTGTTCAACGCTAGGGAGGTTCTCGAGGTTCTCGAGGTGGATATCCTTTGGCCGCGTTGGGTAGCGAGGATTGGTGTAACCCGAGCCACGGAGGCGTGTTTTCTGACGGCCGACCGTCAGTGCACGGAGTTGCCCCTTCTCCGACTGCCCCGGCTAGTTCACGGGTTTCGCGGGAGTGACCCCATGCGTCAAACCCGCGTCTAGGGGTAAATTTAGGGCGTGTGAATGAACTTTAGTGATAGTTTAGTGCGCTATTTAGTGTGTGTTCGAGTGCGTATGTATCGCGACTTTAGCGCAAATTTAGCAAAACTCTCTCTCAAATAGTTAGAGGCTGCGCAGGCCGTCCCGTTTGCTGTTTGCATAAAAAACGCCTGTCTGTTGCGCTCAGCGCTGCGCGCGCGCGCGCCGGGGCTGTCTCACTCACGTGCCGCAATATGTGTCACACACGGCGGCTTCTGCCACCTCTCGATTGGCTCCACTTTCTACGCACACCTACCGGGGAAGGGGTGCTTGGGAGCGGGGGCGGGGGCGGGGGCGGGGGTGGGGGCGGGGGCGCGCAGCGCGCGGCGCGCGCAACAGAGGGTAGGGTGGGGAAGACGGCGAGGAGGGGGCGGCGGCGGCGGCGGCGGCGGCAGCACGCGCGCGGCGCGCGCGACGGAGGGGCGGAGCAGCGACCGCGCGCGCGGTCGCTGCTCCGTCTGTGACAGACGCGCGCTCTGCCGGTGCAGAGCGCGCGCGTCAGGCAAAGGAGGGCAAGCGTGGCGGCGCGGGACGCGCGGCGGCGGCGGCGAGCAGCGAGCGCTCCGTGAGCGGTGAGGCGGCCGGGCGAGGGCGCGGCGGGTGACGGGTCAAGGGAGCAGCCCACACCCGGCGTCGTTTTTGAGCGACGCCTGTGGCACGCCTGCGCAGGGGCCGCAGGGCGGTCAGTTGTGGAGCGAGGCGGTGCCGGCCGCGGGCCGGGTGCAAGGCGCCGGCCTCGGCGCCGCCTCGGCGCGCCGCACGCCTCTGAAAGGGAGCCGAAGGTTTGGTGAGGTGGTGGGAGGTAGGTGGGAGGGGGTGGGGGTTGTTTGACTTTGCCGCAGAGGCCGTCCCTAGCTGTGAACAGCAAAACGGGACAGTATTTAGTCCATATTTAGCACATATTTAGCACATATTTAGCACATATTTATTTAGTGTGTTTTATCTCCAATTTAGCGCCACATTTCGTTAATTTAGGTGCGGGCAGCTGCAGTACATTTAGTGTGGGTCCCACATCTTTAGTGCGGGCACGCCAGGTGTAAGTTTATTTTTGCTTGGGGCGGAACTCATGAACCTGGCCGGCCCCTGCCCTGCCCCTACCTACCTACCTTGAGCACTTGAGCACTGGATAGGGTCGATTCCGCGTGGTACGGGACCCCTCGATCGTCTCGCCCTCCCTCGCTGGTGTGTTCACTGGGGGGGGGGTCATAACAAACACGGTACAGGATCGAGGTGCACGCTGCAGAAGCAGTGTCGTCCCCCCTCTCCATCGTCTGACTCACTGGGTGGGAGACGTCGGCTGTGGTACCTACCTACCCCTACCAGTTATGGGAAACTAAAAAGAAATGAGGGTGAAGGTGAGGTACTATACCAACTAAAGTGATGGTTGGTGGTACTCTCCTGCAACCACAGTCCTTCCTTTGACATGGCAGGCCACTCTCAAGCCCTACAAGCACCAGATCACCCATTTAGGGAGGGTTGGCATTGTGATTTGCGCGAAAATTTTCTTTTTCTGCTGTGCAAAAATTCCAGCGTGAAGAGAGGGAAAACCCCGACGGGAGGGCCCAGACCTACCCTACCTACCCCGGCATGAGTTCCGCCCAAGCAAAAAGAATACACACCTGGTATACCTGGAAAACCCCCGGTATTCTGCCGGCTCGGTTTCGCCTCAGATTTTGCCCCAGCTCTCAGACTCACAGGGAGGGAAACTCGAGAGTTGCCAGAATGGAGCACAAAAAACACAAGAAATCACGACTCTCACAGTGATTTGGGCTCGGCAGCTTGTCAGCCCTCAGCCGAAGGGGGCCGGTCCCGTAGCCGGAGACACCCTCTAGTTTCCCTGGAAATTTCCGGAAACGCAAAGTGCTGGGGTCGTTCCTTTTTGGAAACATGGATGCAGGCTTGCACAACATGCACATGCACATGCACATGTCACATGTGCATGCACATGTACATGTGCATGCAGCGCTTGAGAGTGGCTTGCCATGTCATACCCTCTCTGTCTAGTTTCTTTCTTTGTTTCCCTACTACAGTACCCTCTCGAGTCTCGTTGAGGCGCCCAAATCTCGCACCACCGAGCGTCGCTAGACGCTCAGCCGGCCACCGTCAGTCATTCCGGCCAGCCGGGAGGCCGGAGCGCGCGTTGTTGGAGCGCCTCCACCTGATTCTCGCCGCCCGAGTCCTCATTTCTCAAGCAGTGAGCGGCCGCGCTCGTGCCAGCCGCGGCTGCCATGTCCAGGAAGCCGATTGTGGAGACCGCACCATCAACGCAGCGGCGGCGCAAAGGCTCTGGGCAGTGGCTCTCGAACGGAAAGAAGGCAGAGACCAAAGTCCCTCTTGTCAAGACACAGACGCTCGCCCCTAAAGGTATACCCCACACATTCCCCACATACCCCTCCACATACAGGTCAAGGGAGTCAAGGTCGTAAACATTATACACCGACGAACTCTCGCATGGACGGCCCATGGGGCCAGGCGCAGTCGCTATCGTTGCTTGCGGGTCCTGACATATCCACGCTTGAGTCAGTGGATGAAGTCTGAGCTGAGAGCGACCTGAGCAGAATTCAGGTTTCAGCGGCGCAGGCGCGGTGAGATAGCAGATTGGGCGCTCTAGTCACCAATCTCCAGTCTTCGACTGGGGGCACGGGACTGGCGCGCATGTCAGTACAGTAAGAAAGGCAAGGCGCAAGTTTCGTCGCGCCCACAGCAAGACCGGGGGGGGGGGGCACACGACACTCCGCCCTCCTCGAGATGCATGTATCACCCTGGTCTTGCCAAGACCGACTGAACCTACTTGTGCGCTGTTTCTCTACGTATGAAGGGAGTCACTTGTCCGAATACGAGTCGCCATATGAATCATGCGGAAGCGGCGGCGGCGGCGGTGGAGGAGGCGGCGGCGGAGGCGGCGGAGGCGGCAGAGGCGGCGGCAGAGGCGGCGGCGGCGGAGGAGGAGGAGGCGGCGGCGGCGGCGGCGGGTTGGGTGAGGGTGGCCGGCGGACGTACGAAAACATCTGGCGAAGGCAGTAGAGGGGCGCACCGGAAGGCCCGAAGGTAGACGTGGAGAAGCCCACCTGTCCGCAGGCGGGCCGCGTGAAGAGGGTGCCGCGCGCGCCTTGCCGTCGAGGTCCGTGGAACAACTTGTGCTCCTGTGTGACCGTCCCCTCCGCTTTTGCGTCCACCCATACCGCGCCGGTGTCCCAGCCGCGGCTCTCACCACTGCTGTGTCTACCCATCTCTCTGTCGAGATGGAGAGGCCAGCCTCGAGTGCCGAGATGTCGATGTACCATGGGATCGGCAGCTCGCGCGGCGTCACCACCGTCACCACTGACTGATGCCGACCCGGCGGCAGAGGGCAGTGGAAGCCGGCGCCCCAAGTCCCTCCCGCGCCCATCGGAAGCGTGGCCACGCCGGGCTCGCAGCTCGAGCCGGTCGCAGAGAAGGGGAAGCCGATGGTCTGCTCCTCAAAGTAGGTCGCGTTGGGCGCGCCGGCGGGCAGGTCGATCGTGAGCACGACGCTCATGTTGTAGCCGAGCGGCAGGGTCAGCGGAGGGTCGACCGCCGCTCCCGTCGCCTGCGGCAAGGCGGGGCGAGGGAAGGTGAGGTGAGGCAGGGGGGAGAAGGTGAGGGTGGGCCAGCGTGCAGCTGTGCCCATCACGGCCACTCTCGGGTGATCACGGTAATCTCGGCTTGACGGACAGTGTGCAGCACTGCGACGTCCACCACGCGTCCCGCGTACCGCTGCGGCGGGACCTCGTCGTCCAAAGGATCCTCCGTCGCCCACGCCGCATCGCGCACCGCTCGAGACACCGCCATGCTGTCGACGCCGCAGTCCTCCCATCGAATGGCGATGCGGTCGACGTCCTGCGTCTGAAAGAGGAGGTGGCCGTCCGGCTGAGGCAAAAATGTCGCCCTTTCAGTGAGAGCGGATGCGCCATAATGGCTTGCCACCGTCAAGAGGAGCAGAAAAGCGGTAACGGCGGCAATGAGTGGCGATGTACAGCGGCTCCTGTCACTGGCGCGGCCGCTGGTGATCATCAACAACAAAACCTGGTCGCGTCAGATCGGCCGCCGCGTCTCAACCAACGTGCCTCCACTGGTTTGGGCTCCCTTGCCCGGAAATATGGGGAAGTAGGAAAACGAATTCTTAAAACACAGGCCTCTCTCACAGCACACTGAAACGACAAGGGCGCGGACTGGCGCGGACTGGCACACACACCGGCCCACCACCGGAGCCGCCTAAGCGACTCCGTTAAGAACGGCAATGCACTCCGCACCATGCACAATGCCGCTCTCCCCGCACGCTAGCTCGTTCACCGTCTGCCACGCCACGGCGGTGTGGAGGACGACAGACAAGCGCTGCATCTGCAGCCCGTGCCAGTTCTTGGTGGTCCATGTGACCTCGTCCAGGTGCTGAGCGTGCGAAAGTTTGTTGCTCAGCTGGTTCGCCGCCTCCCTCAGGGTGCTGCGAACCTCCTTTCCAAAGCCTCCGAAAGCCTCAAAATCAAACAAACGTAGATCGCAATCCTGCTCCCGCGCAAAGCGGTAATCGCCATCCAGCTCCTTGAGCTTTCCCTTGGGGGCATCCTCCTCCTCCCCCTCCTCCCCCTCCTCCTCGGCCTCCTCCTCCTCCCCCGCCACCGCCGCTGCCGTCGCTCCCGACGGAGACCACTTGCCGCGCCCTTTGACCAACTTGAGCAGCCCGGTCTCCGTGTTGCCAAAACGCACATAGGCCCCCTTCCAGCCGAGCTCTCCGTCGCCGGCCGTGTCCTTGCCCTGGCTCGCAAGCGAGCTCGTGAGCTTCAAATCGGCAACAAGGCGCCTGGCCCCCTGCCGATGTTTGCCGCCGCCACGTCAGGTTGTTTTGGATTACTGTAACTGAGGTGTGCAGTCGGCTCCATCTCGATGATCATGCCCCACGCCGAGCGGAGGCATTTGATCAAACGTTTGAGTAGGAATTTGTGTCGTGTAGCATGCTTTGACCGAGGGTTAACCATCGCGGCGTCGCCAAGGACGTCGTGTAGCTGGCCGCTGGGTGCCCTCTTGCCTGCCTCCACCGCCTGGCAGGCGACATCAAGGGGGAGCCCAAGGCGGCGCTGGACGGTGACGCGCATCGCCCAGGACTCCATCTTCATATCATCACGCATGGGGATGGCGTTGAGGAAGGCGCCGGCCCCTGGTTGGCTGACGGCGACAAAACGGATCGCCTCTCGCCAGCATTTGTGGTTCTTGCGTCTTCCGACCTTGTTGCCTTTGGAGGGCGCCTTGCGGCCGCCACTGCGAAGCGCCTCGTTGGTAAGCTCCTTGGCAAGGTCGAGCCAGTTTTTGTGGTGCACGCCAGAGGTGTACCGCCGCTGCGCTTGGTGCAGGCACTCGTGGGTGGACGAGAACTGGGCCAGGGGAAGCAGCTCCGCAGCCGGCGTCAGCCCGTGCGGAAAGAAGCGAAACCTCGGCTCCGCCTTCGCCTCGTTGGTCGCAGTGCCCGGGCTCACCACCTCCCGGTGCCAACATCGGGATGCACACGCGGTTTCTTTTCGAGCCGATGCGCTACCCTCGGTCCGTCTTCCGCCGCACGTTTGACGCGACCTTCGGCCAGCAGGATCGGCGGCGAGTGTGCTCTTTCGGCTTCGAGCCGAACCCTGCACACGCGGATCGGCACCACCGTCTGCAGGCCTACTACGCGGAGCATGGCTTCCAATACGTTTACGTTCCTGCTGCTGTGGGGGACCGTGCTGACAACCTGACCTTCTATCTCAACCCCACGGTCGCGGGGGGCAGCTCGCACTCGGACTGGAGCTTTGGAATGAAGTCTCGTGAGCTCAACGCCTCCAAGCAGCGCAGCCACGTGGTTCCTGTCATCGATTTCGCCGCGTTTCTCAAGGCGCTTCAAGCCCAAGGTAGACCGCCTGACGGGCGAGTTGTCGTGAAGATGGACATCGAAGGAGCTGAATTTACTGTGATGATGCAGCTGCTCCTGCACGGCGTGCTGTGCAACTTGGTTGACTTTATTTCCGTCGAGTGGCACCACCGATTCCTCCCGCTGCCCGCAGCTGTCAATCGAAGCCTGCGGATCAACGGTTCGGAAGGGAAGCTGGAGAGCTGGATGCTGCAGGAAGCCGTGCACGACTCAGTGGGCTGCCGACTAAAGGACCTGTCAACGGTGGATGACGAGAGCTACATAAATGACGGCGCGCCGCTGCAGTGGACGACTTGGCCATGAGCGATCGTCGGAGGCCGAGCTCGCACAGACTCGTTGACTTGAGGCACAGTTTGCATCGTCCGTCAGCGTGTGAGACTGTGGCCGATCGCGTCGCTGCCCGAGGATTGCTCTCGGTCTCGGGCACCACCCGTGCTGCCACAAAGCACAATGTGCTGCCACAAGCACCACTAGCGATTTCGCGCGGAGGGCGTAGTGAAGTGCTAAAGCGCTCACTGTGTTCTCTCAAGGTTCTCGAGGTGTGCAGACAGCGACGGAGAGGTGCCTCGTGACACTGGCACTATATATATAGCGGCTGAGTATTGTACACAAATACTGGAAATATCTAGATATCGGTTCCCTGGGCGTCCACTAGCGCTCGCGGCTAACCTCGGAATGTGGAAGCAGAATGGCTGTGCTGGCTCCTTCACAGCCATCTTACCTAAGCCATCTTACCTAAGGATGGCTGAGCTAGCTGCAGTGCGGCCACATCCTCCAGTCTAATGGCTGCAATACACACACCGCAGCCATCCTTGGTAGACATGGCTGGAGACGCACTACCGCAGCCATACCGCCCGCCTCGAGGTGAGCCCTCTTGGCTGAGCTTGCTACATCGCAGCCATCTTGGGTAAGATGGCTGGGCGACAGCCATTTCAGCCATCTACTATGGCTGGGGCACAGTCAGTGCAGCCAGGAGCATGGCTGGTGATAATTCGATGGCAGCCCCCCGCCGCCCCCGCCACAACGCACAAATGGCTGCGCGCTTTTCTCCCCGGCCTCGTGGGACAGCTGCCATCGGCTGCCATCGAGTTATCGCCAGCCATGGCTCTGGAGGATGGAAGCTGCAATCTCAGTGTCCCAGCCATAGTACTTAGTAGATGGCTGAAATGGCTGAAATGGCTGTCGCCCAGCCATATAGTACCCAAGATGGCTGCGATGTAGCAAGCTCAGCCAAGAAGGCTCACCTCGAGGCGGGCGGTATGGCTGCGGTAGTGCGTCTCCAGCCATGTCTACCAAGGATGGCTGCGGTGTGTGTATTGCAGCCATTAGACTGGAGGATGTGGCCGCACTGCAGCTAGCTCAGCCATGCTTAGGTAAGATGGCTTAGGTAAGATGGCTGTGAAGGAATCCACCTCTTCACCGCCCTCGCCCCCGCGTAGAGAATGTGGTGTGGTGTGGCGCTGTTCATGATGTTGTGGCTGTCCCCAGCCATCGCCGCCGCCTCGCCGCCTGCCACTTCCGACTGTGTGGGCTTGGTGTGCGTCCTCAAGGCCACCAACTCGACCTGGGCCGGCGGCGGCCTCTCGGCGTCTCTCGCGCTCTTCGACACTGCCCGCCGCTCCGGCTTGGGTTGGGGTTCGAGGGCGTCTCTCCACCTGACGGCCGCGGCGGAGCTCCCGCACGTGGCGGCAGGCGCCCACGCCTTCGAAGGCGACGCCACGTGGGACGAGTATGGGCAAGAATTGTCTATCGACGGCGGCACCTGGCACGCATACGCCTCGGCGTTGTCACCGGCGACGCTCCTGCTGCACCTGCGGCTTCCGCCGGCCGCGTCGGCCGGCTTCCACGCCCTCTCGTGGCAGCGTCCGCTCCCGCGCGGCGAGCTAGCGCGCTTCGCCGAGGCGGCGGCCATGCTGGCGGCGGGAGAGGCGGCGGCGGCTGGTTCGCTCGGCCCTCCCGGTCGCGCCGTGCTGCTGCAAGACCTGAGCGGAGGGCTGTGCCTGCTCTCTTCCCCGTCCTCCGCCGACGATGAAGGCGGCGACACCGCCGCCGGACGCGCCTCGGCGCCGACTCTTGGCGATTGCGCTTCGCCTGAGGCGGTGTGGCAGGTCGGCGCCGGCGCTGCAGAGGCGACGCGCGAGCTGCGTGCGGCGGCCGCCTCCGCCGCCGGCGGCGGCGGCGGCGGTGGCGGCTCCGACGTCTGCCTCCGCCGGCCGGCGGGCTCGTCGGGCGCCAAGCCGCTTGCGCTCGGCAAGTGCGGCTCGCTGGGCACGCGCCGCTGGGAGCTGTCGGAAGGGGGGCGGCTCTCGGCGCGTGCGGTCTCGTCCTCGCGGCTGCGCTTCTGCGTGCGCGTCGCTCGGCCGAGCGATGAGGAGGGGGCGAGGGCGTGGGCTGCGTGCGTGGCGCGCCCTGCGTGCGCCGACGCCGGGGAGGTCGGCCTCTGCTGCCCGGACCAGGAGGGGGTGCGGCGGGAGTGCTGCGACGACGCTGCGGCGCCGCCGCTGCCCGCCGCGCTCGAGACGGCTTCGTGTGACGACGAGGCGGCGGCGGCGGTGCTGCGCGTGCTTTCGGCCCCCGGGCTCGCGCCGCGCGCTGCGCTGCACCAGTCCACCTCACAAGCTAGCGGCGCCTCCTCCGCCTCCTCCGCCGCGTCTGCGGCGGGCGGTGCTGGCGCGCTGACCAAGGCGCAGCTTGACTGGCTGAACGGCGCGCTTCTTCCCGAGAGCCGCATGCAACTCGCCGCCGCCGCCGCCGCCTCCAGCGGCGGTAGAGGCGGCGGCGGAGGTGGTGGAGGAGGTGGAGGGCCTGCGCCGGGGTCCGCGTTTCTCCGCGGCGTCCGTGGCTCGCACCTCGAGGCGTGGCACGCCGCCGCCGCCGCGGTGCAGAGCGGCTCGCGCACGGTCGGGTCGCTGACGGAGCAGCTCGACGCGCTGACTGACGAGAGCGCCGGTCTGGGGATCCGGCTGCATAAATCGGACGCGCTGCTCGAGGAGGCAACGCGCAACCTGGCCGCGGCGCA